TACATTTTTCCGATTTCTGATTTTTGAAAATACTAAATCTAGTTGAAATCGTGTGCAAATTTAAATCTGAGTTGTTATGCTTTGAATTTTGACCTGCAACGGAACTTGTCTGCTGTTTCATGGGATATTTGCACTGTGTCCCATTTGACTGTGTATGGAGGATACTTTATGACTTCCGCATTCCAGTATCTTTTCTGATTCATCAGCTGCAAAGAAAATATGCTTTTCAATTGTAGTTTTGGTGCATTTCAGGATATACAGATTCTTAAAGAGAGCAGACTCGTTTCATTCTGTGAGGAGTCAAGACTTACTAGTGAATTCTCGTTAGCGTGTTTACTTTTATCCATTCCTTATGGTCCCCTGCTGGGACAGCGGTAAATCTACGGATTTATAACGCTAAAATTAGGGGGTTCGATTCCCTTCGGTGGACTCAGCAGATAGCCCGATGTGGCTTTTCCATATGTAAAACACACACGCATACCCCATTCCTTATGATGATCGTGTAAGTTAAAGTTACTTAACCTTTCAACGCAGTTTCTTATACTTCCTTCTCTAACTTCATCGTAACATAACTGTTCACCATGGTGATCGGCTAAACTTTGGTTTTCTTCGGAAAATAAAATGTTTGTTTTGTTTCAAATTGCAACACCGTCTTATCTTTTTCAATCCACTTGCGACAAACCATTGTTTTCCTTCCTGAGCCTCTCGTTTTTGCGGAGATCAGATAACTGTGTGGAGATATGCCCTTAAATAATCACTCTGCTTCTGACCCATATACCAAGTAACTAGAGAAACAATCCACAAGCATTGTTAAATTCTTACATCAAAATAGCAGATGTATACAGAAACATTGATACTCGTTCTAAAAAGAAGTTATGGGTTTTGTTTGTTTGTTGTTAAGTATAAAGCTTCACGTGTAAATGGACTATCTGTACTGTGCTCACTGTGTAGACTTGTAGTGAAATTTCTTAATTTAGTCTTGATGATAAGTAGAGCAACTTTTTATCTAAATAGTACTAACGGGATAACCCTTATCATAACTAAAGGTTTCCAGTAAGTTACATCACGTTTAATGAAACTTCGAACTTAACATGGATAAAGGTGGGTTACAGTGAGTGTGACTTGGCATGGATAAAGGTGATACTTGGTTGATTTAGAGAAGAAACCAACATTACTAAAGTCTCTAGTTTGTTATTTATAATACAAAACATTAGAGCACACGTTTTTAAAAATATTTGTTTGAATAGTTTCTCAGAACCAAAATGAGCAACATATTGTCAAATCCACATCCAATGGAGGTCGCGAACATTGAAAGAAGATCAAAAATCCATTTTTTTAGCTAAAGGGAGCATTTCATCATTCAGGTATTTCTAAAAAGAAGCGCTAAAACAATATCATCTTTTTAATTGCATTGTTACTTTTTGAATATCATTATAGACATTCTTCAGATTTATTATAGACTCATCACTATTGCCAAAGGGACGGTGGTCAGCTCAGTTGCACCTGGATCCTCGAGAAAAAGGGGCTACCATGCAAAATGTCTACAGAATTCCCTCCTCCCTCACCTTCCCCTTAGGAAGAAAATGCATAATAATACATTTTATGGAAGCTAATCATCAGGGCATAAAAGATCCATCAGTAAGAATGGTGTAATTCGTAAAGGGGCCTTCACGGTAGGCTTTGATCTCGAGATACGTGACTTGTTTTTAATTAACGATATTAAATAGCATAATTTTATCAGCATTTTAACATATTTGGCTTTCGTTTCCATCGGGTCGAACGTTGGTTTTTATTTAATATATGATTAAAAAGGTACGAAATTATTACAGTCAGATAAGTAATTAAGTTAATTCAAGAACGATCTTATTTGTTTGGAAGTGAAAGAAATAGCGATTTAAGAAGTATTTCTGTTGTTATTAATTTATTTTTCCAACGATTGTTTTTGTTAAAATAAATTTAAGCCAGTATTTAGAGCTTTTATCTGATACTTATAAATAAAGAAGATTAGAAAGAGACTATCGTTGTTGTAGTTTTTTTAGTGCAAAACTATACAATAGGATAATTGCACTCTGTCCACCGCGGGAATCGAACTCCAGATTCTAATATTTTAAATCCGTAAAATTACCGCTCACCCACTGGAGACGAGAGAGAGAGAGAGAATAATTCAAATATAAATTACCACTATTGAAAAACCTGTTAAAAAAAAAGAAATACAAAGCAAGTATAAAAACAGAGTATTGCATGAATTATTTGCATTTTTATTAAATATTAACATTAGATTTTAGAATGATGTATGGATAAATAAGTTATATTTATTAAAAGGAATTGTTTTGAAGTCTTACACAAATACAGTATATCTGATCCAACAAAAGATGATTTTATATGGGAATGATATGATCAGGTAACAGATAAAGTCGTCATTGGATAACACTGAAATTGATAAAACGTAATGGCCGTTTAATCTGTATATTGCATCATAAAAATAGTAAGAGACTGTGTCTAAATAACATCTGCTGTTTTATTGTACCATTAAAACTCTAATAGGTTTCTATAAATGGCGCAAGAATATTTTATTTATCACTGTATTCACTAACCCTACTTGAAAGTATGACTTTGTGTTTCTTATTTTGTGAGCAAATATTGTCAAGTGAGCAAAATAATATGACCCACTTTCCATCGTACTGAAATTGTGTGAAAATTTACTCATGCTAAAATATTATGCAAGGACGTTTTTAGTTTGCAAAATTATCGGTGTTTTTATATCGCAGGTTCATCACACTTTTTTAGATTAGTTGATAATCTTGACTATATATTTTAAAGGTGGATTGTTGTTTTACTTGGATAACATGCCAAAAGTCTGTTTAATTTACGTGAGATAAAACGTAAACGTAACGTTTATCTGACAGACCTTGATAGGGAAACTTGCTATGCATTTACACTCTTTATCATTCTTTAACAACTACGATAGATTACCTAGCTCGCAATATCACATGCGTACACCGTCCAGTTCTCAGAATACTTTCCATAACTCCAATTGAACTGTCAGGATAGTTGGTTGATCTGTTAAACAGAGTTATCGAAGTGTTAGACAGAACTACAGGTTCCAAGCTTATTTTTGAATTTCTTTTTCCAACGAAACTTTTGACCTAACGTCCTTTAAAATGCCTGACACGATCCTCAAAGATACAACAGGGTATTATGACTTCGCTGAAGAGGTAATTATTTGTCTATATTAATTACTGAAAAATGTATACCATATATATATATTATTATGTTATGCTTGTTTGTAAACTAAAGCTTTGAGACGAGAACTTAAATATATTAAAATATATTCAAAAATAAATTAGTTTAAGTTTATCAAATATACTTTTCCTTCTTTTCTATTCCTTTATCATTCTTCTTTTCATCACAACTATATTTTAATTATACTTTTCCTGTTTTTATAGTCAACAGTTTATTTCAATGTGTTATATTACGTGATCCCCAAAAAGGGAACACATTTTACATTTCTTTGGGGTTTCTGACTTTTAATATAATCTAAATTATATAAACACAACTAAACATACATTTCTTAGAAGAATCTCTCTCTTCTTTGGTTGTTGTTTGACTTATTCAATAATCTATACACGTTTTTAGATTGTCTCATTTATAAAATAATTTTATAATATTAATAATAATAATAATATTATCTTTAGGTGTACCAATATCTCTGTTTAAATTATTTTTATTTAAAAATTTATTCTTAGTAATTTTAAAACCTCTTAATATAATTTTTTCCGGATAGTGACACTGACCTAAGACCTGTTTAAGCTCTATTAATCTATTAACTCTCGTTTCTTGATCTAGTCTACTTACAAGACTTACTGGAACACTTAATTTTATGTGTTTGAGACGATTACTAAAACAATCTACATACTGACGTGAGTTTGTATAAAACATATAACTTATAATATCTGTTTTCTCATGAAATACTTACCAGCACATCTAAAAATTACAAGGGATTACTATTTTATCAAACAACAAACGTAATCTCCTTATTTATTGAATTTAAAATCACAAAAAACGTATTAACATCTTGAGTATCCTTCTATATTACAAAACAATTGTCTAGAAATCATAAATATTTTCCAAAATTGTTTTACAAAAGTTTCTTTGAAATAATTAGGTAATATCCTATTAATGATATTAATATAAGTTAGAATGATTTTTGTACCCATTGCTATAACAGACATTTGAAAGAAAAATCCTCACAAGTAAAAAAAATAAAAACAATTTTAAGAGTGGATCTGAATCTCTTAAGATAAAAATTTTATTAAACCTGGGATGAATAAATTCCTTGAATTGGTCCAGAAAAAAATTCCACAGTTTTAAGTCCACAGTCATGTTCAATACTTGAATACAGAACTGTTACCTCTAGATAAACAGATTTTCTGATTTTTCTTTAATTTTCGGCAATTTTTCGACAAATTCAAAACCATTCCTAAAAAATCAAATATGAGATAAAAAGGTTATAATAATATGTCCAAAGGATTATTTAAAGATTATATATATATTTAATTATTTCCTACAATCGGCATTCCCAAAATACTATTTTTTTTCCAATATGAACGAACGCATTCACTTTTCATTTGCAACAATATATTGACTTATAGATCTTTGTAAGTACATAAAAGTTCCCAATTTCTAGATTATTCAAAATTAAATATTTTTCGTTTTTGTTATATTTTTCGCTTTTGTTAATCTCATATTAAATTCCTCAACAAAGTTTATAATTGTTTTCTCTAATGGAAATCATGCATCTCAAATATTTAAACCTCCCATTCTTCGGTAAACTCTTGTATGTGTTCAGTTATAAATACATATATGCGAAAGAGAAATAACATAGTTTTCTTTAGATTAATAAAAAGAACGATTTTCAGAGAGGAAATGAGCGAAGCTGCATTAATTTGTTCTCTCTGAAAACTTCTGACGCTAAAATTCGGGCTTGGATATCCATGGTAGGCACAGCATAAATAGCCCATTGTGCTTAATAACAAACAAACAAACTCAAACTTTCCCATTGCTAGTGTATCGTTTTGAAAATATAACTGTAAAATTTGGGTTTCGATACCCGTGGTGGGCACAGCATAAATAGCCCATTGTGATTAATAATAAAAACAAAAACAAACTGAAACTTCCCCTTTGTCAGTGTATCGTTTTGAAAATATAACTGTAAAATTCGGGTTTCGATACCCGTGGTGGGCACAGCATAAATAACCCATTGTGTAACTTTGTGCTTAATAACAAACAAACAAAAACAAACTCAAACCTTCCCATTGCTAGTGTATCGTTTTGAAAATATAGCTGTAAAACCAAAGAGGAAAGTATAGTTTTCCATTCGTATGTGTGTGAAAAATAGGAGAGTGTGTCAATATTATATACACATGAATTAATTGCTGTGTGAATTATTTATGTTAAAGTGGTCGATCAATGTTTTCCTTTAATCAAGGATGTACGTTGTCCATGTTAACGTACGGAACTGAAACACGTTTTTATAAAGTAAAAAAAAAAAAAACGTCAACTTTTACTATCGTAGAATTAATATACCAATACAATCAAACTATCAAATGAAACAGTTGATTTGTCATTTACTTTCAACAAAGTTAAATAACCCAAAACAATCATGACTTGTTAACATTGTATGCTTATATGTATTTTCCTATGACTTTTACAAGACATACAAACTTGATAAACTGTTGAATTTGTTAAACAGCGAGTTGAGAAATTACAATTTATCAAAAGTTGGAAATAAATCTACGATACTACAAAAAATATTTCCCGCACTTCAAGCTGTAGGTGCATTATAAGAGTCGTAGTCAATCACTAAATCTTTAATGTGGATGGTGGGTTTTAGGGTGTTGGTGACTAGTTTTCTTTCCCCAGTGAGTAGTTTGTCTTGATAATCAGAATATCTACACTCAAGAACAAAATAGTGTGTATTTTATGTAAAATAATAGCTTATATATTTATTGTTTTAATAATTCAAATATTTGACGATTAATGGATGAGGGTGGATAATTTCTGCAGTTACGAAAGCGCTCCAGTTTTGGGTCTTATTTTAAGTCTATTACACTATATATGTGATCAGTTGTGCTAACTCTTTTATCAAAAATGTAGTTACGTTTTATGTTCATAATATACATTGGTTATCAATACTCGAGAGTTTAATAAAGCCCTTAGCTAGCAAGTAGCAAAAGGCACTGAAAGTCAAACAATGGCAAGGACAAGTGTGTCGCGATGACGTAATACGGTAAAGTTTAACAATGTGTAAGATGAAAGGAATGACGTACATGCATCTCAAGTGTGTTACATAACGTAGAACTACTCCATGAGAGAACAGTTTCCTGAAAATATGTTGCAAACCAAGAATGTCAGACCAAGTGATTGGTGTAAAAGATGTAATAAGTTGTTGCGTATACATGGTTATCATATTTTATCACAACCTTGTGTGGCGATCAGCAATAAAATTGGGAGCGGTTTGGCTTTGTGTTAGAGCTCTGGATTTCAGAGTTGTCGAGGCCGCATTCCAATCTGTGCGATACAATAAAAAGATTTACCACACTTTTAAGCAGTGTGTGCGTTATAAGTGTGGCAGTCCATACCTTAACGTGAATGGTGGGTTGTAGGGTGGTGCTGAATAACTTTGTTTCCTCTGGTAGTAGCTCAAAATTAGGGACGACTGCAAATAGCCATAAATACTACATACAAATGCAAGCAAATAGCCATAAATACTACATACAAATACAAGCAAATAGCCATAAATACAAGCAAATATTCATAAATACAAAATAGAAATACAAGCAAGAAAATTCAATGAATTATAGTCACCTAGTTTCAAGAAGCTCATTCAAATTGAGTAGTTATCATCATCTCGCGACTAGTAACTAAAACCAATCTCACATAATGATTAGGAGCTCGTTTTAATTTTGGAAAATAACAATTTAAAAGTTTTTAAAGCTACTATTGGGATGGGATGGAATAGAATAATGTTGATGACTGCTTCAATCAAACACCAATTTACAGTACAAGCGAGATCTTCTTTAGATTTCTTAGAGTTTTCGTCTTTTGGTTTAAAAAATCCTAAAGAGTTCCAAACCATATATCTGGGGGAAATTAGGCACTAAATTAAACTATCAAAATCACAGTCAACTTCGTAAAGATATTACTTCATCTATAAACTTAATAAATTAATTTCAACACCTAAAAGGAATGCCGAAGTAAAACTAATGATAAACTGAATGAAAATATTTGTATTATTATTAATTACAATTATCTTTATGACCAGAATTGAAAGCATCATAGTCAGCTGAAGTGATGGAACAAAGTCCTTATGTATTACTTATGACGCTGCTTCTATATTATTTTAGACGAATGTTATTACTTTAAGCTACATAATAAACTGTTTTAATTTAATTTAATTTAACCGCACAAGATGTATTTTTAACAATTCAAAACATTAAATGACACATCGTGATTGTAACGTGTATTGAGAACCTCGTGTATATTTTAGTAAAATACAACAACAAAAATTATTTAGTGAAATTGTATTTCTCTACCAATTTTTTACTTATAATTATTTTTCATATCCATCGTTCTTGTAGTTTTGTCATCATACAAACGCTCTTTTAAATGAACTATTGTATTTGTTTGAACTCCTAGAGGATAATCATCTAAACCAGCGATTCCCAATCTTTTTGTTCCTCTGTACCCCTTGGGCATTCTCTCCCAAAGCACTAATGGAGGGAGGAGAGCTTGCCCAGTTGGCTGATTCCTACTTTATCAGCTGATTTGTAACAAGAGTGTTCTATATTTCTTGTGTTCTACATTACTTATTGAAAACATGAGTTATAATGTAGCACTGCAATAACATCACAAAGTTCACCATGATCACAACTTTTGTCTAAAGAGCATGTATTTATGTGAGCCACTTTACTCTCTTTGTCTGACTGTAGATTAAAACACCATGTAAAGTGTAAACCATGGTTATACTCGTAGACCCCTATGTACTCCCTGAGAAGTGCAAATGTACATCTCTGGGTACATAAATCCCCGGTTGGGATTGTCTGATCTAAACCTTCTTTTTCGTTGAATAGATGCTTATTTTCGCCTCTAAGTTTAACTCAAGAAAGCGCCTACTATACCAAATTACAATCCTCTTTAGTCTTAATACTAAGCCTTCATCATCCCACTCTTTCGTTTAGTTTTGAGTTGTAGTGTAGTTTTGTTTTTAACTTACTAGCAAGTTAACTTGAAATAAAACGATTTTCTCACCCTTTTTTTACAGCTCATTTTTAAGTAGTTGAAAAGGTTTATATTATTTGTCGTTTCGTTTTTGTTTTAAATAAAATTTTGTTCAGTAGATAAACATTTGTATTTTCTTTGAACACTTTACGTCTTTATTCTGTAAAATGGTTTTGTTATAAGTAACAGTCGGATAATGATAACAAATAGGAAGTTATTTTCACATTCCGCACTGTTAACTAATGATAGTCTTTGTGAATGTCTTCTGCACTTTCCAATTTTTTAGGAATAAATTTGGAGATTTGTAGTATATCTCAAAATGAGAAAAAAACAACAACAAATATCACTAAAAAGTGCACTCTAAGCCTAAGATACATGCATGGAAGAACTAATACTTGCCGAATGCGAGAAAAATAATTGTTGACCTAAAACCTGCTAACCATCATATACGAAACTATATAGGATAAAATTAATTTCCTAAGACGGTAATTATGAGTAGAAATAATTAATGGTTTTAATTAGGTGTTTTATGCTTTCATATCAAACACTAATGTGGAACATTAAAACTAAAACTTATGAACATCTACAGGGAAATGTTTTATTAAATTGCTTCATTAGTCGTTCAAATATAAAACAATAGTTCCACCTTTTTGGCTTTTTATATGATTGCAGTGCACGGCACAAAGCACTTAATTTGATCGTTTGAAACGACAAGGTAACTAAATGACGCATTGATGACGTCTCGGACTTTTTCGTTAAGTGGTAGCATTTGAAATTTTCAATTTGTTTGCTGTTCTGTTCGAGTTTAACTTCTAAGACTTTGAATGGCATTTGCAGATTTTTGTGATACCAAGACACCGTGTATTCACTGATATGGAGACACATCAGTACGTAAGCATGAGTGCCAGACGTGAAAGAACAACGGTTTCTAGGTCGTACATCCTGAATGGCACTGATAAAACAAACCAAAGAGTTGATATCTTAAGAAAAGACAAAAGTAATGCCATTATATTGCTTTTATTGACGTCACCGTTAGGAGTTATCACTGCGTTGATTTTTAATAATAAAATTGACTTTTGGTTATTGACTTAGATATTAGGTTTTTGACTTTTAGCTATTGTATAAGGAAACACAATAGTTTTCAAGATAAAATAGAAAGCTAGATTTCTGAGTATTCAATAAACTACACCCATGTATTTTAATTATATATATTTATGTTAATTAAAGTGGTATTGGAATTGTTATTCTGATAATGTCAAATACCACAAGGTTCTGGTACTCTATAGTCGTGTGTTATTTTGAACTACTCACCAGACTATAAAGGTTTGCCTGACTTTGAACCGAATAACGGGATTAACTGTCCTTCCTATAACGCACCCACAGCTGAAAGAGCAGATCGCGTTCAGCGGCATCATTGTGTGATATTTAGACTTTGCGATACACAACTTAGAGAGCTAACCCTTAGAACACCACGCCTGACACATTAGTTAAACCAGTGAAAATTATAACAAGTGACATTAATTGCGTTATCATATTCTGTAACACTAGAAATTAGTAAGATTATGCCAAAGTTTGATTAGCTTTCACTTAACGCTAAAATCTTATTTAGCAATGATATGTTATTATCCTGTATTTTTATATTTTTTACTGGCCGAACGAGGATTAGTAATTAGCGTGCTAGGACTATTAATCCAATAGTTTATGGTTCGTGTCCCACTGCTTCAAAAACAAGTTCTGCACTTTGGGGCCATGTTGGCGTTATAAGAGTGACAGTCAAATCTCACTATTCGGTCAGACAAGAGTAACTCAAGAATTAATTGACTGTGAGTGTTGTTGAGTAGCTGCTCTTTCTCTAATCTACAGTTCAAATTGAGGGACTGCTATGCGAAAATAGCTCTTGTGTAACTTTGTGCAAAAACAAATACATTTTTACTACAGAGATTTAACTGCTAATTAGGCTGAACGTATACCTACAGAAAAAAAAAGAGAACTACAACACTATTTCTGTTTCACTCAAACTTAACTGTGTTAACGTGACGTAACTATAAATCCCTACTTATATATTATTTAAGAGCAGTGTACCTCCAATCCCTTTGATTTCTTTTCCACATTATTTAACGGTTCTATAGATGTGAAGACTCACCGTGGTGGAGACTTTAAGATTCTACACCATGTCTCTGGAGTAGACAGATTATTGTGTGGCTTTATTACTGTGCTAAAATAACATTTAATAAACATATAAATATAAGAACTGTTACAGAGATGAGCGGTGTGAAATTCTACCTCAGTAGAGTAATGCAAAATTGATTAACCAGTATATATATTAAACTAAATTGAATTAAATGCTACGTTCTATATAAAATTGTTCAATAACATTTTCATTATTAACAAATAGATTGATTAATTAAATAAATATGGGCAGGTAACGACACCGATTTTGAATGTTTGGAATTCGATAACTACTCGAAAATTTAATCTGAAATTAAATAAATTTAATAATACTTATTTCGTATATCTCTATGTTGCATCGTCACAACAAAACAAATGTTTTTTGTTGTTTTTTTTCTATTTTAGAAAACAAATAATTCTTCCTTGCCGAGAAAACTATCTACAATATCAGGACAACTGGACAAAAAACCTGGAGACGAGGTAAAGCTTGATTATTACATATGCTTTCGTGGAATAGGTTTGGTTTGTTTTGAATTTCGCGCAAAGCTACACGAGGGCTATCTGCGCTAGCCGTCCCTAATGTAGCAGTGTAAGACTAGAGGGAGGGCAGCTAGTCATCACCACCCACTGCCAACTCTTGGGCTACTCTTTTACCAACGAATAGTGGGATTGACCGTCACATTATAACGCCCCCACGGTTGAAAGGGCAAGCATGTTTGGTGTGACGGGGATTCGAACCCGCGACCCTCATATTGCGAGTCGAGCGCCCTAACCATCTGGCCATGCGTGGAATAGGTCACTTTTAACCATTATTCGACAAAAGTCTCTGCGCGTCCGCTTATAACTAGCGAACTGTTAGACCGATTATCATCAAACTTGCTCTCCCTCCAGAGAGTAACATGGGGGTGGGGGAGTCGTTTTGTTCCGTTTACCGTGGCAGTTATTTCGATTTAAACCTTTTAATCCCAGACCAAATTAACTTGAACAAGGATCAAAGTATTCGGGGGTGTTCAGAATCATTATCTCTTCACCACGCTCACGGACTATATGTATCGTGAAAAAAATATATATATAATAAAAAGGAAATATATAATGATAATAATAAAAATAATAATTATGATAAAAGAGAAAAGAAAAAAAAACAATCTTAAACTGAATAAAAATAAAATAAATAAATAAACGAATAAAATAAAATAAAAATAGATAAAGGTAGATTTTAAATTTGGCTGTGAGACATAGCCGACACATCCCCGGCATGGCCAGGTGGTTAGGGCGCTCGACTCGCAATCTGCGGGTCGCGGGTTCGAATCCCCGACCCACCAAACATGCTCGCCCTTTCAGCCGTGGAGGCATTATAATTTGACGGTCAATCCCACTTTTCGTTGGTAAAAGAGTAGCCCAAGAGTTGGCGGTGAGTGGTGATGACTAGCTGCCTTCCCTCTAGCCTTACACTGCTAAATTAGGGACGGCTAGCGCAGATAGCCCTCATGTAGCTTTGCGCAAAATTCAAAAACAAACAAACAAGCAGACTTACAAGGCTATAAATCGGGTTTCGATAACCGTGGTGGGCAGAGCACAGATAGCCCATTGTGCAGGTTTGTTTTTAACTACAAACAAACAAGTAACTCGACATTTTAGTAAGATTTTGTAGGAAGTACTTATCGTTGGAAACCGTTTATACGAATCTAAAAGTTTAATTTTGGTAATTGAATGATCATTATTCTGGATCTGTTATTCCTTTGTTACGTTCTTATGTGTTTGAAATCTATAAACTACGTGACTGAAGCTGAGTGATCTGAAATATCCACATCAGTTACTGCTACAAAATTATACTAAACTGTAACAATCATTGTCTAGTGATTTATTACATTATCAAAAAGAAAAAATACGCCTGCGAGTTTGGTTTAGATTTTTTTAAGAAACCTAATCATACAAATTTTCTCTCTATTATCTTAGAACATATTATTATATATATTAGTATTTAATCTGGGGCAGATAACTTAAAACTTAGGCTAGTTTGCTGAGCAACAGATAGTACGTTAACCCATTTTTTAGTCTTAACGCACCATGTAAAAGTTATGTGAAAAAACGTGTGTTTGATATTTTTCAGGTAAGCGAAGAAAGCGATCATACCGACCACAGAGGAAAATGGTCGAAAGGAACCGAGTTTCTCCTTTCTTGCATCTCGATATCAATAGGACTTGGAAATGTTTGGCGATTTCCTAGCTTAGCCTACGAAAATGGCGGAGGTAGGCAGTAATTTGTAATACATTTTAGAAATTTCTTTACGTTTGGCAAATATTAACTCTTACCACATTATTTTTTGTAACAATTTACATTTTACGGTATGTTATACAAACTTCAAAGCTCTTTTCAAAGCTGTTCACACTTTTGAACCATAAGTTACCGTTTACTATTGGTGAAGTCCACATATTGATTCGTATTGAGTAATTTCAAGTTTTTGCTTGTTACAGCACTCGAAGAAATTGAGAAAAATCACTCATTTTCTATATAAAAACCTTAGTATTAACTAGCCCCCCCCCCAGTGGCATAGCGGTATGTCTGCGGACTTACAACGCTAGAATCCGGGTTTCGATACCCGTGGTGGTCAGAGTACAGATAGCCCATTGTGTAGCTTTGTGCTTAATTACAAACAAACAATAGTATTAACTAATGGAATTAAGCTCATTATCCGCGATATATTTTCTACTTTTTCTGTATGTGGCTGATGTGTTATCAAGGACTCACACATTGATTAGAAAAGTCCACCGGTGGGACAGCGGTAAGTCTACAGATTTACAACTCAAAATTAGGAGTTCGATTCTCCTCGGTGGACAGAGCAGATAGCCCGGTGTGGCTTTGGTATAAAACACACACATGATTAAAAAATATGTTTAAAAATTCGATGTGGACCATACACCCAACTTGTTAGTTCTAAAGTTAATAAATACTTGAAATATTTATTTTCTCTAGATTATGGTCCCCCGATAGGACAGCGGCAAATCTACGAACTTACAACTTTAAAAACCGGGGGGTTTGATTCCCCGCCATAGACACAGCCGATAGTCTAAAGTGGCTTTGCTCTAAAACAAAAAACAAACTCTAGATCATGACATTTAAACCAACTTTTATATTCTGTTTCAGGCGTGTTTTTGATTCCATACTTTATACTACTGTTCATAATGGCTAAGCCACTGTACTACATGGAACTGGCTTTGGGACAGTTCGCTAGCTCAAGTCCAGCCAAAGTGTGGAGCTGTCTTCCAGGATTCAAAGGTGGGATCATTTGTATATTTCAAAAGATAAAAACTGTTTTAATACTGGCGACCAACTAGTCAACAAACAAAAACCACCGTTGTAAAGTCACTGTTTAATTAGGAAAATAAGCAACGATTACGCGCTTCTCGTTTGGTAAATACAACAAGGTTTTTAACTTAAGCTAATCTGACAGTACAACGATAAGGAATGAAAAGTATTGAATATAAGGCACTTATATTTGTCAATGAGTTAATATATATAAGTAAGGGATTTTAAGTTAGAAGAAAGTATAAAAAATTCATGAAAAGGCTTAACAGAAAATATAAAAGTCAGTTTTTTGTAAATGATGATATAAATATAAACGTATTTTAAGAAAAATGAATTGCTCATTTAAAATCAAAATAATGTAAATAACGTTTTTAGAATGAACATAAAGTTAAAATAATTTATGCTGAAAATTATATATATATAAAGAGAGAGAGAGAGAGAGAGAGTGAGGCCGATAGAACCGTACCGTAAGTATAGTGTTATAGTGACTATAACTGAACTAAAACAACGGTAACAATTAATCTTTAAATCGCTATTTTACTAACATTTGTACTCAATTTTAAAGTACAACAGTGAGAAGTGAAAAGCGATACACGTTTCATTACACTTTAAATATTTAACTGATCCATTATGAAGAGTATGGAACAGCACTTCAATTATATTTGAAAACTACAACAAAGAGGTTTAAATGAGCATTAAAAAAGTAGAGAAAAACCCTTAGTATTCAGGTTTCTTACACATATTTTTTTAAATAATATTTAAGGTTTTGTTGACTGATACTAACGTTATAGCAGCCATGGTTTATTTCAGGGATCGGGTTTGCTCAAATGTTATCAACTTTCTTCCTGACAACCTTCTACAACTTCATCATGTGCTTGACAATATTCTATATGTTTGCCTCAATGCAGAGTACGTTACCTTGGACGTGGTGTGATCCTGATTGGGCTGACAACTCTACCTGTTACAACAGACTCAAAGAAAACCAGGTACAGTTTCCTGTCATGCGTCTACAAGTCGTGCTCTAGAGTAATTATAGTTTTGTTGTGATTGTTTTATACAACCATTTTCATACCTTCTCGACACGAAAAAAATATTGAAGTCCTGCAGATTACTGTTTGTTTGCTTTTAAGCACAAAGCTATATCATGGTCTATCTGTGCTGTGCCCAGCGTGGGTCCCTAAACACAATGTTTAGATTTAGAAGCCCTCAGACTTACCACTGAGCTACCGAGGATAGGGGGATCTTCCAGATTTAGCCCAACAGTGGAAGTTACTTTATACGTCATTGCTATAAATTATAGGATAACACAGATTATATCATATTAGGTACCAAATTTCTATACTATGAAAAGCTAAAAGTTGTATTTCTAAACTATATAACCACTTAGTCCAACCAGATCGATAGCAAATAGTGGCACTCTTTGGAGTTTAGGATGTTCGTCTTGTTTTATATATACACTCGCATTTGTACTAATTCATTTTAGAACTGCAGTTTTCAAATGATAATGACTTGCGTTTTGGTATCTTTTACAGTCCTAAGGTAGGGATAAACACTTGGGAAGATGTACAGCACTGATTAACCCTCGTGGGCAAGCAAATTTTACTTATTAGAAACCGCCACGTAATCATACATCCATTTACAGCAACGCAACATGCTTATCTTTTTCATTTTTTTGGATTTTGTTTCTGTTTTTTTTTTATTTTTAGAGGTTGTTCTTAAGTGTAGTTAAGTTTTAACGATGCTCACTCATTAGTTTATAATGGTCAATTAAGTGTAGTTAAGTTTTAACGATGATCACTCATTAGTTTATAATGGTCAATTAAGTGTAGTTAAGTTTTAACGATGATCACTCATTAGTTTATAATGGTCAATTAAGTGTAGTTAAGTTTTAACGATGCTCACTCATTAGTTTATAATGGTCAATTAAGTGTAGTTAAGTTTTAACGATGCTCACTCATTAGTTTATAATGGTCAATTAAGTGTAGTTAAGTTTTAACGATGATCACTCATTGGTTTATAATGGTCAAATTTTAAATTCCACCTTTCCTGGAATTCAAATTGTTTAGTTCTTAGTTAATGAATATTGAAAGTTTAGTTTCGAGTTTCCACCGGGTGCAGGGATTCGTTGTTCTTAGATTTTACAGTATTTTTTATGAAAAGCGTAAAAGCTGCTTTAATCTTCTCTACAAGATTGTTCAACAAGTAGGATATCATTTTAACTTATAGGGTTTTGTTAATATTGAGAAAAAAGGGTTTGAGTCTCTAGAACATACTAGAATTCTTGTCTGTTTGTTGTTAAGCACAGAGCTACATAATGGTTATTTGTGCTGCGCCCACCAAAGCTATCGGAACCCGATTTTAAGTGTTAGAAGCTCTCAGACTTACCTCTGAGTCACTGGGGGCATTAGATTTCTACAACCAGTGATTCGGGGTTCGTTTACCGAATAAATTATCTTACATTACTCCAGTTCTTGGCAAGTATGGCAACTTTTAAAGTAAACATTTCTTTCTTCGACTGGACACTTGTATTAATCACACTTAAGCCATTTCTGGTCACGTACCATAAACACCAAGTGAACATTAAACTTGCATTACGTCGTATGTCAGTAAGACATCTAGGGGCTACCAAATCCTTACTTGATTACATATTTTTGAACGCCATTATTTTTTAATTCCTTTTTGAACATAGAATAATGGAAATTGATTGAAAAATGTTTATTATGAGTTACCTTTTCCATTAATATCAATATAATATTCAAACTTGGTACTATTTTACTACATTTCAATTAAATATTTACATATTTTTCCCAGACAGACTCCATTAGGAACCAAACTGCATCGGAACAATATTTTAGGTATGATATCGTTATTGTTTCTTAATAAGCACCTTTCTAAGAACAATGTTAAACCAACGTAGATATAATGTTTCTGCTTTTCTGTAGTGTAGTATATTTTTAATATGAAAAATATTGTTGTGCTGAACCACGTGATAGAGTAAAACTATGCTATTGATTGTTTATATGGATTATAGATATTAAACTACACGATAAATAAGACGTTAATATCATACACCCGTAAGTGTATAATACAAACAAATACGGGTGTATGATATTAAAGTCTTACTTATTGTGTAGTCTAATATATATAATCCATATAAACAATTAAGAGCATAGTTTTAATTTCTCTATCCTAGCTTAATACAAACAAATACAGTGTGTAATACAGACAAATACGGGTTTCTGATATTAAAGTCTTACTTATCGTGTAGTTTAATATATATAATCCATATAAACAATCAAGAGCATAGTTTTAATTTCTCTATCCTAGTTTAATACAGTGTATAATACAAACACATACGGGTGTATGATATTAATGTCTTACTTATCGTGTAGTTTAATATCTATAATCCATATAAACAATCAATAGCATAGTTTTATTTCTCTATCCTAGTTTAATACAGACAAAGTATTAACTAGGATAGAGAAATTAAAACTATGCTCTTGATTGTTTACATGGGTTATAGATATTAAACTACACGATAAATAAGACTTTAATATCATACACCCGTATTTGTTTGTATTATACACTGTTATCATACACTGTATTTCTCTGTATTAAGCTAGGATAGAGAAATTAAAACTGTTCTTCTTTTTGTCTATACAAACGATAGATAGTAAACCACATAACGAAGTGAGATGTTAACTTTTTTTTTCTGAACAGGCGATATGTGTTGAACCAAGTAACACACCTAGAAGAAATGTCGACCATGGACTGGAGATTAGTCCTATGCTTGCTTCTCTCCTGGACCATTGTATTTCTAGCAACTGTCAGGGGTGTTCAGTCACTTGGAAAGGTTAGAAAATATATGCTGTGATGAAAACTATCCCGTATTAATTGTTTATGTGTGATAGACATAGTTCAAAATTTGCTTGAGTCATATTTAAAGTTTCGCTTCCTTCAGAGCCTTAAATGAAACTTTTCTTTGTTATTTATAAAAAAACAAAAGTTATACTTTCTTTACTCTCTTAGGCACATGTATTAGTTGAAAATTTTAGAACGCTTCAATGTAGAAAGCTTGATGAATATAGAAAGTTGGAGCATGATACTGTGTTGTAACTCGTTTATAAACAACAAGTATATTGCCTAGACAGTAGTTAATATGGCACTCTGAAGGCGGAAGTGACGGTAGCATCCGAGAGCATAAGGGAGGCGGAGCAGCCAATTATAGTGTAATCATAGATTAAAGAAATAACAGGTAATTACAGGACGTGACGCCAATTATTAACAATAATAGGATATAATTATAGTTTGAAAATATCATGACACCAATTATTGACAATAATTATAGGCATTGTTCGAGGTGTCATGTAAAGTAGAAAACATATTATAGTATGATGGTATACTGTTCTTGTGAAAGTATATGATGGTAAGAAGGTGCCTTGTAAATTAGAATCCAGCTAATATTTGATGCTGTAGTGTACAGTAGAAATATGATAGGAGGACAGTGTAATATTAAGTAGAAAGCATAAGATAGTAAAACAATATATTATAGAGTAGTGAGTAGATGGTAGTGAGACAATATGTTGTATAGTAGATAGCATGATATTGTATTGTATAACTGAAAGCATATGATAGCATGATATTGTATTGTATAACTGAAAGCATATGATAGCATGATATTGTATTGTATAACTGAAAGCACATGATAGCATGATATTGTATTGTATAACTGAAAGCACATGATAGCATG